AGCAAAATTCTGGACTCTAAGAGAATTGAGACATGTGAGAAAGCCAATTGTCAAAATACAAAATCAGGGGATCAATCAGTAAAATGCAACGATGACCACACAGCTCACCATTTAGCAAGATCTATGCGTCTGCCCAAAGTCTAATATCCTTTTCTGACAACTGTGGCCATGCCTTGTTCCCTTCTCACACCATCATGCTAATGAAGTTAGGATAAGGTTCACTATGCATCAACCTGGCTCAGTTGAGCCCATCAGACATGTGTGAACTTCATGGTTCCAGGATCCTACCACCCATAATCACCATTAAAAGGAGATTTTTCCTTCTCTACTGGGTAGAAACAGAATACATTACAACATATGGGACAGGATATAATTTCATCCAATTGATTGGTGGAAATAAACTCTTACTATAGACAGAAAAATTATTAGTGGCCCAGATGCAACTTAACTCATGCCATAGACATAGTCACAGAGCCAGGATTCAAATTCACCTCTCCAGGGATACTGTTCCATGCTTACACAATGTTCATGGTCTCTGCCTAAGGTCTATGCCAACTCAGCTTGACCCATCTATCTCTATTTTTACCTACACTCCATTTTCCTACTATTGTGCCAGGAGGCAGCTAAGTAGCTGGTGCAGCGGATAGAACACAGAGCCTAGGGATCAAGAAGACTTGGGTTCAAATTTGGCTTCAGACACTTACATGACCCTGGCCACACCACTTAACCACTATTTACCTCAGTTTCCCCAGCTGTAAAATGGGGATAATAGCACCTACCTTGCAGGGTTATAGTGAGGATCAAATGAAAAGATATTTATAAGAGCACTTAGGTGCTACATGAAAGTTTATTCCCTTCTGCCTTGCTGCAGCTCTTGTCTAACCTTCTTCCACCTATTTATTGCTTGTTCCATCCCTGCTCTCCACTGCCTTTGGCTTTCCAGAATGTGTTGGGGAAACCTCAGATCCAGATGGGCAGGACCAGATACACAAACTTCTCTTGTATTTGGACTATCTTTTCCTTCCAAAGACAGCGGAAGAGTTTGATTAAAATGCTCATTGTGTCTTTGTAATTGGTGATTCCTCTTCTCTCCCTAAAATACAATTTCTCTGTCATCTGAGAAGCCCTTCTCTAATCCCATAGCCCCCCTACGGAGCTAATGCAAATTCGACACCTCCTTTACATCTTTGTGTTTAGATCAGCTCAACAGGAGCCTGCAGCAAGATGAGAAACGGGTCCAAGATTCTCATCATGATGCAGGTTTCGTATCAAAAATGCACAATCAACCAACTGGAACAGGAAATAATTAATCAGGACATTACAGAACAGTTAAGTATAATTAATGCATACAAAGGGAGGGAAACGTGTGGCTTTGGCTGCTAGAGCAGTTATCTTTTCTTTACAAATTCAACACATGATAAACAAACAGAATAATCTTTTAAGTACTTTTTTTACCCTTTCAAATGATTCATGAGTTATTTTTTTCTTCCTAGTTCCTAAATATTATTAAACTGGCATATTAATAACTCCAAATTGATTACCACTTCCCCACCCCTGAAACTATCTCCCTAACAATGAATAAATGGACAATTAAGTAGTTATGATGGGGGAAATGGGTCTGTTTCCATCTATGTCAGTGGTGGACATCTCAGGACATTCTAGGAATAGAGTGCCACTGAATAAAATCCACATTACTGGTCAAATATTAATAACAAAATCCACACTATTCAGCATCCTCCTCTCATTCCCACTATGTTTCAGCCAAACTGACCTACTTGCTTCTCCCCATACTGGGTATTCTGTCTCCTGCTTCCATATTAAAAATGTCCTCTCTCCTCACTTTCAAGTAATAGAATCCCTTGTTTCTTTCTAAACTCAGCTATGGCTTTGGCTTCTCCGGGAAGCCTTTCCTGATGTCCTGCCCCGCCCCGCCCCAGGCTGCCAGTTCTTTCTCTCCTCCCAAATTACCTTATGTTTATTTTTTGTACCCTCATGAGTGATTATTTCACTTTTGTCTTTCAATCTCCAGGACCTAGCACAGTCCTTGACATATGGTAGATGCTTAATAAATGCTGGCTGACAGATTGTCTCCCCCGCTTGTAATGCTGCCCCTCCTCACTTCCACCTTGCAGAACCCTTACCTTCCTTTAAGGCATAGCTCAGGTACCATGTGGCCTTTCCTGGGCCAGATCCACATCCCATTTGTTATTGCTTTCACTCTTCCTCCCCAAAATTGTATATACTGAAAATACTGCATGGGCAGCTAGGTAGCATGGGCCCTGGAATTAGGAGGACTTGAGTTCAAATCTGGCTTTGTTGAGGTTTAGATGTTAGGGGTGCTGGGACCCCAAACTCATGACACCTGGGTCCTGCCCGAAAGAACTAGACCCAAGACTTCTTTTAGCCAAAGACAAGGTTTATTAAAGATGAGCCATATGGGCCAGACTCTTAAGGAATCTGAACATTTGTGACACTAGTAAAGACAAGCAGGTATGAGGAAGTCTCAGCTCTAAATGGCGTCCAGGATGGATCTTATATACAGAAAGACTATGGAGAGATCTAGGAGTGGTCAAGTAGTCAGGGGTGCCTGGAGGAGGGGCTGGGAGGAGTGTCTTGATGGGAGTAGCCAGGAAGCTGCGGTGACAGTAGGGAGTTGAACAGGAGTGGGAGCCAAACAGGACAAAGATGGGAAGTGGCAGGAGGCCATCAGGCCAATAATAGATAAAGGAGGGCTAGACTTAATTAGGGTAACAAAGAACTGGGAGATTGACCTAGGCAACAAGGAAAGGCCAGTTGATAGGAATAAGAATAGCCTTAGGAGACTGCTAGACTTCCTTAACCAGGTAAAAAGTTCAAATAAAGTTCAAGGAAGGGGATTTTGGGGGGATGTCTTGGCCCCATACCCCATCAGCTTCAGAAACTTAGAGCTATGTAACACTGGGCAAGTCACTTAACCCCATTTGCCTCAGTTTCTTCAGAAGGAAATGGATCCCCAAATAGGGCTGAACAACAACAACAGAATATACCCTACATGTTATTTCTCCTCAAGACTTGAGGAGAAGGGACTAAATCTAACACATGGTCTGGCACATAGAAGGGGCACAATAAATACTTGTGGAATTGAATCTAGAAGAAAGTTGGGTCATTCCCAAGCTGCTTAAAACCCATTAAGTTGTGAAAACACCACATGACTAAAGCCTAGCGCAGTAGTGTTGTGTATTTTCTGTTTCTCTCATCTCTGTTTCATTTTCCATGAGCTTTAGAAGAAAAGAGGCCTATGAATCTAGGTATCATCATCAACAGCAGCTTTGGTATTGCTATTCGACACAATTCTTCTGTCAGGGGATAGAAATTCATAAAACGAAAAAGGGCAGCGGGGAGCAGCTTTATGCAAGGGCTAGAAAATCCATCATGTTGGAGTGATAAAGAGGGTGGCGGAAAGTGGCCTTTCTCCTTTGTGGATGAAGCGGGGCATGTTGCTGTGCCCTGTATTTCCAGAGAAGGAGGTCTGGTTGGAAATATAATAGATTAGCATTATTTAGGACTAGGAATCCATCAGAGCAACCATTAAAAGGACAATATTTCTAGTCACTTGTCATAATCGAAGGGCCTATTCTCAAAAGAGATCATTGTGGGGATAGAGAATGGATTTCATTGACATAGAGAATTCCCAGATGAGGAAACTCCTTCCATCAATATAAGCTGGCACCTTAGCAATTCAGAGTCTTAGTTGTTCAGTCACGTCTAACTCTTTGTGACCCTGTTTGGGATTTTCTTGGCAAAGATACTGGAGTGGTTTGCCATTTCCCTCCCAGCTCACTTTACAGGTGAGGAAACTGAGGCAAACAGGGTGAAGTGACTTACGTAGGGTCACACAGCTAGAAAGTATCTGAGGCCAGATTTGAACTCACAAAGATGAGTCTTCCTGACTCTCGGCCCAGCGCTCTACCCACTGTGCCACCTGGCTGCCTGCCCCCAGAGTCCTAGAGAATGGACTAAAACACTGAGAGAAGCAGCTTGTCCAGGGTCACAGCTGGTCTGTGTCAGAGGCTGGACTTGACCCCTAGCTCCAAGGCCAGCTGTATATCCACTATGCCTAGCTGCCTCTCTAGACCATTGTAAGTACTATAATTTCTCAGATTAACCTGATAATTAATCAGAACAATATGGCCATTAGGGTTGCCTGTGGTGGAAATATAAATCCTTCTGCTTTCCAAAGTACTATTCCGGGAACAAATGCCAGAGGAAAAGGAATCTGCTGGGCCTTAAAGGGCCTAGTGTAAGTAATACCAGGCCCAGTAACCAAGATGGAAATCTGACTTTGTTTCCATGCCCCTGTGGGGCCGCCCTTGTTTCAGCAAAGCCATGTGTTTATTACTGCTGAACGTGTTTGCTTATTGATATAGTGATATCAATGCACCTCTCTGTTTTATTAGGGTTACCAAACGCATGCATATCAGATCATCTGACCAGAATTTTATTTTCTTTTCTGCTTTGTATATCTGCAAAATGATTGATCACAACAGCTGAAGCCTCAGTAGGGGAAACACTCTGCTCTGCCTGTAATCTATTCGTATACTTCATATTTCAGATTGCATTTTCATTTCCTGGTATGTCATAACCCAGGTACCATGGTGGAATGAATTCGTCCCATTGCACCACTAAGAAGTGTGTCTCCTTCACCTGGGAGAAGATACCAGAGGAAAAGGAATTTCTGCATATGTACCCTTTTTATAACAGAATAGAAAATCAGCATCTGTCAGTCTCATGCCCTGAGGGATCCAAGCAAGAAGACAAGAATCAAATTTCCATGGGGATTGAGGGTTAAGGTATTCACTTTCCTTTGATTCTTGTCTCCCAAGAGGCAGCTGTGTGGTACAGTGGATAAAGTGCTGAGCCTGGACTAAGGAAGACCTGAATTTGAATTTGGTTTAAGATGTATACTAACTGTGTGACCCTGAGCATGCCATTTAACCTCTATCTGCCTCAGTTTCCTCAACTGTAAAATGGCTGCTAAAGAAGCCTATGGATCTAAGTTGGTAATAGGTATCACCATGAAGAGCAACTTTAGTATTGCTATTCAACACAATTCTTCTGGGGACAGGAATTCATAAAATGAAAAAGGGAAGCCTTGAGCATTTCTGCATGGCCAGAGAATCCATCATCCTGGTGTGGTGGGAGTTGGGAGGACAGAGAACATGATGCTCCCCTTTGGGGCTCCAGAGTGCATGTTGTGGCGATCTTTATTGCCAGAGGAAGCTTCCGCCTTCCTTCTAATGTCACTGTAAGGATCAAATGAGATAATACTTGTAAAGTGTGTAGCACAATGTTGGCACATAGTATGTGCTTAATAAATATTTATTTCCTTCCTCTCCCATCCCAATCCTGTCGTTTGATCCTCCCTAGGCAGTTAAAAAATTTTTTATTGATAGTTTTTGTCTTTTACTCCACAGCTACTTCCAAATAATCGTGCCCTTATACAACCCTCGCTTAAAACAAATTACAAGTCAAAAGTCAATTGACACAGTGACCACATCGAGAGATTATGCTGAGAGCATATGCAATATCCCATCCTCAGAGGCCCCACCTCTCTGAGAGAGGGAAAGTGTTTCATTATTGTTCCGAAAACAATCAACCAACAGGCATTTACTAAGCCCCTACTATATGCCAACCACTGTACTAGGTGCTGTGGATAAACACAAAAATGGAACAATTCTTGCTCTCAAGAAACTTACATTCTTTCGAGATGGTTCATTGATTTCTGTCTCCCTATGGACTTATAAGAGAGGACTGCCCACCACATGCTGGGGTTCATGAATGGCAATTGTAGGGACTGGAAAACCTAAATATCATCTGCCATTGAGGAGTACTGTTGAGGACATGGTGACTGATGGACAACGGAAAGAAAATGGGCTGCTAGGTGGTGTAGTGGATAAAGCACCAGCCCTGGAGTCAGGAGGACCTGAGTTCAAATCTGGCCTCAGACATAACACTCACTAGCTGTGTGACCCTGGGCAAGTCATTTAACCCCAATTGCCCTCACCAAAAAAAAAAAAAGACAATGGAAAAAGAGTAGGATTTAAAGAAAAAAAGGATCTGTCTTCATCTCAACTAACATTTACTAGCTATGTGACCCTGCAAAGCATAATCCAGGGGTGTGCTGAATATTTCACAACAGGCTCTCTGAAAAAAAATTAATGTACCCATGACACACTCTAAAATTTAATCTGAATTAGTAACATTTTCTCCATCATTTTCTTAAGTCTAGACCAGGGGTCTAGAGGCCACATGGCCTCAAGGCTGCAGGTTTCCCACCCCTAGTCTAGACAATCAACAAAGCAATACATCAAGCCTTGATTTATAGGATTTGCTGATTTCTGAGGTATAAATGCTCATGCTGAAAATTTAATAATCAAGCCTTGGTGCCAGTTTGGGCCGACCCCAACACATCCCTGCCACAACCTCTGGGCCTCAGTTTCCTCATATACAAAACGAAGGGATTGAAATAGATAGCCTCCAAGGTTCTTTCAGGCTATAAATGTATGATCCTATTAAATGAGCTCCTTGAGCTGTCAGCTTCCCCAGATCTGATTCTATTCTTGGCAAACACGATCAGTTTGTTTTGTTATTGGTTACCCCAGGAATAATGGAGAAATATTTGCCACTGATTTTTGACTAAGGAGCCCTAGAGATCATTTATACCCAGATTAGTGATACAGGAGAGCAACTAGAAGCTGCCATGCTGAATTACTACTGAGGGTGCAAGCTAGTAATTCATGCATGCCTGAAAACAGTCTGGGATTGATTGGAGTCAGTTCTGATCCCAGTCACTAGGGTAAGGGCAAGCGTGTATTCTAGGAGACTGAGGGAGCCATCCTAAGCTCAGAAATCAAGATGATAAAAATGAATCAACCCTTTGACCCAGCAATAGCACTTCTAGGTCTGTATCCCAAAGAGATTACGCAAATGGGAAAAGGACCTAAATGTACCCCAATATTCATAGCAGCTCTTTTTATGGTGGCCAAAAATTGGAAATTGAGGGGATGCCCATCAATTGGGGAATGGCTGAACAAGTTATGGTATATGAGCACAATAGAATAGTACTGTGCTAAAAGAAATGATGAACAGGTGGACTTCCGAAAAACCTGGAAAGATTTGCATGAACTGATGCTGAGTGAAGTAAACAGAACCAGGGCAACATTGTACACAGTAACAGCCACATTGTATGATGACTAATTTTCACAGACTTGACTCTTCTCAGCAACGCAAGGATCTAAGACAACTCCAAAAGACTCACAATGGAAAGTGCTCTCCACATCCAGAGAAAGAACTATGGAGTCTGAATGCAGATGAAGCATACTATTTGCTCTCCTTTTCTTTAGTTGTTGTTGTTTTGTTTTTGTTTCTTCTTTCTCATGGTTCCTCTCATTGGTCCTAATTCTTCTTTACAATATGACTACTGTGAAAATATGTCTAATATAAATCTATATGTAGAGCCTATATCAGAGTGCACGCCATCTTGGGGAGAGGGGAAGAAGTAGAAAATTTAAAACTCAAAAGCTTATGGAAGTGAATGTTGAAAACTAAAAATAAATTAATTAATTAATGATAAAAGAATCAGCACAAGCAAGGGGTATACATATATTTTTATTCATATTGTCAGTCAATAAACAATTGTCAGATGCCTACAATGTGTTCTATATTGAGTGTTAGCTATGCAAAATAAGGCAAAAGACAGTCCCCACTGCCAAATAACTCAGAGTGCATTGGGGGAAACAATAGGCAAATGACTGAGTAAAATCAGGCAATATTCAGGATAAGTTCAAGGTAATCAACAGAGAGAAGGTGTTAACATTAAGGAGAATCAAGGAAAGACTTCATGTAGAAGGTAAGATTTTTGACTGGGACTTGATGGAAGTCAGGGAACCCTTTACCAGGTAAAGGGTACAACCAGTGAAAATGACCAGATCCTGGAGACAGTGTCTAGCACAAGGAAGAGCAAAGAGGCCAGTGTCACTGGATCACACAGTACATGGGAGAAGGAGGGGTATGAGGTATAAGAAGATTGGTGAGGTCGTAGTGGGCCAGGCTCTGAAGGGCTTTGAATACCAAATAGAGGATTTTACATTTGATCTTGGAGGAGATAAGGAGACCTGCAGTTTTTTTTAAAGTGGGAGTGCATATTATATTATATTATAAAAATAATTATTAATATAATATTTCCTATATTATTATATGTTAAATATATATATATGTGTGTGTATATTTTTTATCTATATATGTGTGTGTGTGTGTGTATATATATATAGTTTACTCAGATTGTGGAAACATAGAGCATGGATACATGATGCAAAATTGGACCCATTAACAGTTGTAGCCATTGGCTACCCATGAAAAGTTCATTCCCACCTCACAGCATCCAGCCCAAGGTGAAGGTCTCACCTTATTAGAGGGGTAAAAACCTCCCTCCCCGCTATTGCTTTTATCCCCAGATTCTGCTTGGGTAATAGTAAAGACAGGGTCTATCTGACGAGGCTTGTCTATTTCACTTTTCACCACTTTGTCGACCTGCTCATCTAGTTAAAGTCTTACTATGTCCAACACCCTTAGGGTGTTACCTATGAGGAGCAATCAGATCTTAGTGGGATGCTGCACCAGGGACCAGCCAAAGTCCATCAGAGCATGACCATGCCAGCAAGCTACGGCAACATATTTGCAGAAGCATGACTAAAGTGTCAGAGTTGAAAGCTTTGGCTGTTGGTGACAAGTTAGCGTGAATAGACACTTTGTCAGGAGATCTGAACGATGGTGCTGGGGTGGATCAGAGGACAGGGTAGGCACAAGGACAGTGTGAAATGAGGTTAAGACACCTTAGTAAAGAGAGTGAACCAATACTCAAAGAGAAGTTCCCCTGGATGGAACTTAGGTTCAAAGCCAGGAAAAATAGAGGAATAGGTCAGTGAGTAAGGTCAAAATTGGAAGTGGTAAATCAGGGAACATGAAGGACAGCAGTAACAAAAAGATAACTTGTACCATTGTAGGTTCCCAATGAAAAGCAATTTTCTGAGTCACTGAGAACTTTCTGAGCCCAGATGCCAGGGAGTGTTAGTCTGTTAAGAAACTTGAGGAGGGCAGGATCTATTAGAGTAGAATCTTGTTCCTCTGTCCTAGGAATCTATGGACTCAGAGGAAGCTTGAGGCAACTTTTAGTCCTCAGGGTAAACAGGTAACTCTGCTAGGGCACAAACTCTCCCTAATCCTCTGGTCCTCCTGGTCAAAGTCATCTCTGTGAGGCAGGGCTGGGGGATGAGAAGTTCAGAGAGCTGGAAATAGAGCACCAAACTGAGGCTCTGACACTAGGCACCCCCAGATCGGCAGCGTAAGATCCTGATTTACTAGCAACAAGGGAAAGACTTGACTAACTTAAAGGCATGGAAGTGGGCAGCTGCTTTCTATGTCTGGTATTCTTGCTAGAGTCCTTTTAGTCTATGAAATGCCAGAGTTTTGTCCACCAGAGCTTCGAGTTCAGGATTGGCCCATACCTTTAATTAGAACATTAAAGGTCATCTAGACCAACCTCCTCACTGCAAAGATGGGGAAAATGAGTCACAGAGACATTTAATGACTTATCCAAGATTGGACAGAAAATGGTAGAGGAAAGATTTGAACTCAGATCTTGTAGCTCTAAATTAAATTATTTTTCTCTCATATGGTTGGATATTTTTTTCCCTTCAGTTTGTCCATCAATCAGGAATGATATGCTAGAAGTAAGTGAGTTTCAGCTTGGAAGAAGGGAAGGAGCCCAAAAATGGGCTCTTCTGGTGAACGTGTTCATAGTCATAAAGATGTCATTCTAGTACTGAAATACACGGAACATGGTGGTAGAATGCAGGACAATCATAGTTCGTGGGCATTAGGCCTTAGTTAGGAGTTATAGGCGGCCTTATGGGATTTCTGTTACAGTACTTAACCCAAGAAAATATTTCATAGATGCCTACATGCTTACATGCTCTCATATTCACCTTCACCAGAATTCCCAATATGCCATGTTCCAGGTCTTAATAAGTCAAAGTAGTTGGAGGGCAGGGTATTATCATGTAGATGCTCCAAAGCAGAATGTAAAAGCAAGAGGAATGAAAGATCCTGTCATATAGAGATATGCTTCCATATATAAGATGATGGTCAAATTAAGGATTTAAAGATAATCTAACTTAATCTTATTTTTAATTTAATTGGTTTCAAATAAGAAAAAAATTCTCTCCCTGTCCCTTACTGCCCCTAC